GTCAATCTGATTACAATACAGATCCTCTGTGTCTAAGCTTTACACACACGGATCTGAAAACGATCCGTTCTACTTTCTGTTTTAAAGACCGTTCAAGTACTCTAGTTTTGTCGGATAAGTACACACCTTTACAAATTTTAAGGCTGAACTATCGTTGGCTGATGTAAATATTACGAGAATAGAAAGTAAAACCGAGTGTTATCAGATCCTTGTAAAAATGCTTAAACAAAGGATCTGTTTTTTAATCGGAGTTCGTTATCGTTATCTTGCTAAATTAATTGCATCAACTCTGTCGGTGGTAATTTCGGTTCAAATGTATCCGTTACTAATAAGAAAAGAACAAACAGTTTAACGAGTTGATGCCTATGGAAACGTTCAGCTAAAAGAACGATGCTTCTTGTGCTTTCGATAACACAGCGTTCAAACAGTGTCAGGATCGATCTATATGACTGCGTTGGAGAATATAATTTAATTTGCCAAAATTAAAAATAACCAAGTTTGCAACTGAAGTGTTTGGTCCGATTTTTCTGTTGAAATATACCATTTACTTAATAAGATTATAACTGAGCTGCATTCATGTGCATCATATTTGATTCGTATTTAAAATACTTATTTGCAAATACAACTAGATGCTTGGTATGAAACTTCTGATTTTTATTTTGGATGCAAAATAAAACAACGACAAAAACACCTTAACGGATTCTATAAACATGTGGTAACGTGGTCTTTCCCTATCCGGAAGTAAGAACTTATCTAAATGGGGAAGTCTTATTGGCAGTTTGTGGAAAATACGAAACCATGTCCGATCGTAATAAGGGGATGTTTTAGAGTGCAAGTGACTATTACAAGCACACATTTTGCAATACAAAATATACGCCTGAAGCGTATACAGAACCTTCAAATATGAATGTCTAATTTTACATAACGTCGTGTAAAGCGTATAGTGTTATATATAAATAAGACGATGTGGTATGAGTGCCAATGAGATAACTCTCCATCCAAGGCACAATGTATAAAAAGTTAACAATTATAGGTTAAAGTACGGTCTTCAACACGGAGACTTGGCTCACACTTAACAGCAAGCTATAAAGAGTCATTTTTTATAAAAAAAAAAAATGGAGATATCTATATATTTGAGGTCCAAGTGTAATCGTTTATCCTCCTATACAACTATAATATGAGATTTCTACACTTTTTTTGTCAGAACTACACTGTTCTAAATCCACACTCCAATTAGATTAAAATGGCTTATTCATCTAGTTAGGTCAGAGAAAAATATTTTTATAGTGTTGTATCTCCACTATTTCTCATGTATGTTTGCTGTTAAATATTTTTGATCAAAACTATCTTAGTAGTACTATGTTTAAATGGTTTGCATGGTTCGAACTCAATATATGAGTAATTCTTAGCAAATCCAGCAGTACAGAATTGGGGATATGATATTACAAAGTTAAAAAATCCATGGTCTATCCCGAATGAAAATATTGGGTTAAATTTCTAAAACTATATAAAAATAAGGAGATGTGGTATGATTGCCAATGAGACAAGTATCCACCAAAGTTTAAATGAAGTGGATGTAAGCAATTATAGTCAACGTACGACTTTCAACAATGAGAAACCCCCATACAGTATAGTCGGCTATAAAAGGCCCCGACATGAAAAATATGAAACAATTCAATTGAGAAAACTAATGGCCTAATTTATAACAAAACAATTTACGAAAAAACAAATATGACAGGCATCTCTTCATGCACGTAAATTCGATACCTACATAACTTTGTATGTGTCATTTTAAATAACATTCGTTTAACAATCAATTTTTAAGAAAAACAATATGATGGATAATAGAAATTTATCAATTTGGTTATACTTACACAGGTATGCTGTTTCGTGCACCTTACAAACAAACATAAAATAATCATATGCTAGTTATCTATAATATATATAAATAAGAAGATGTGGTATAAGTGCATATATATATGTTTTCCGATGCATCACTATCAATAACGATTTATTTATGACGGAAAAAACGTATAACTGTTTATCACATGTTAAAAATTCATGCAAGTAATTCTAATCGTTTTAAACACTACAAATACTTAACATTTTCCCTGGGGTTTCACTGCAGGGACAATATCTGTTTAGGCAATTACGGTAGGATTTGCTTTCTTATTTCATTTGATCATTTATTGATCAATGTCTTTTACAGTTTATACATTTATTTTCCGTGTCAGATATTTTTTATGACATATAGGTAAATGTCATATTTAGATAGCTTGCACGAATAATGCTTAAGAATGAAATAGTTATTGTTGCTGTTGACTTTTTGTCTTTTCTTCTCTTTTTTGTGACCTATTAAGGATCATTAATAAATGTAATATATTGAGATTAAATAGGAAATCATGTATGGATTTATTATAAAAAAAACATTAATCAAACTAAAAAGACGTTCTATAATTAATTCCTCAGGATGATCAGAAGAATAAAATATTAATTCATTAAGTATACTTTTAGCATTTTTTATTCATAAGAAAAATTTCCAATTTAGATTAGAATGTCTTTTTTTTTTTATTTGTGATTAGTTTTTTTGGAGGTACACATTACAGTATAAAAAAACTACTCTAAAACTTAGAAAAGGAATGTTGGAATATAAATAAATCTAGAAATTTCAATTGTTAGATATTTAGCTCATTATGTGGTAACAAACTAAGCTCCCAATATTTTAGATTTGGTCCATAATTCTTATAAGGTACTTCAAACAGGGCTTCTCTGCAAACTATGGGATATATATGATGATCATTTATTGAATACTTAAACAATTTAAAGTTAAGTATAGTTTATGATCCTATCTATCCCGTTTGACATAAGAATTAATGAAAAATGCAGATTTAGTTGGGTCATCACATCCATTTCTACTAACAGTCAAAAAAGGATAGGTTGTAGTCCAACTGGAGAAGTGAAAACAGCTGGGTTATGCCATTCAACGAATCAAAGCATGTGGTTCATGCATATTTCCGACTTGACACGATATTCAAGGATTTGTGAGTGCCATCAAGATCTATGTGTGGTAGCGGTAACTTACACGTTAGATATTGATACATATGTTTTTGAGTGGTAATGCTTACATAATCTCCTCAGAACTAGTATAGACGAAATCATAATTTGGTTGATTAACACGAGAGATATATCGCTGACATATCGTACGGCGGATTGTCAAGCTGAATGATAACTATTCAAAAACAAAACTGGAAATTTTAAAATCATTATTTGAATCAAACGATACGTACTATTACAATCTCGTCAAAGTGTAAAAACTAATTTAATCAATATCCATTTAGTTTTTCCTTTATTGTAATTTGTTTCCTTCATCATATTTTGTTATATTGTGACGACATGATGTAAAGGATTATACATCGAGAATGTTCATTTTTGGAATAAAAAATGTATATAGATTTAAATGGTCTTAAGTTTACAGAAAATTAATTATAATCAAATCACCAACAGCAAATGAAGTTTAGTTTGAAACCAATTCTCTACTCTTAATTTCCAACAAAATATTAATTTCTGTTCAGAGGTTTTGTTATATTAAGATATTTCTCCGTCGTTAAATCCAATTTACAATCTAGGTATAATCAGGCATTTTTGTAGAATATGAAGTCATTGAAAATTCAGTCGATTTACAGATTATATCTTATTTGAACGCTCGCGAAGTAAACGTAAAAGATAAAAATGGAATCACCATAATCGTTTCTTGCTATAGAGCATCGTTTCTTGCTACATAGCAAAATGAGTAACTGCACTGGTCATTCCTTATTAAAACCATATTATCTGAGTTACAAATGTAGCTCCACTGATATAAAAAAGTTAAAATGTTTTAATTGATTAAAACATTTTATCTTATTATTTAAAATTGTTTTGGTAAATATAAATCATAAACATTTTATCATTAAAAATTAGGTCAACCTTGCTTACAAATTTGATTGTCACGTCATTAAAGTGAGGTCATAGGAGAAATGGTCAGGTTTTTATTATTTTATTAAACATTTAAGCTTAATCTACATAGAGCATAGGCATCACCTAAAACAATGCTTGGCCATCGAATAGATAAACATAAAACACACAAACTTTGGATAAATCGGTTTTGTTCTATTATTTCTTAGCGTACACAGGTCAAAAGGGCAGGCTTTGCTCAATGTTATTGAATAAACTGTCCTTTACAGAAAAGAGAATGTTTTGAACCAAAACTATGATGTATAATGTGTTATACAAGTAAAAAGATAAATCAATTAATTCTAAAATTCTGAAATTTTATAACATACTTCTTTTGTCTCACATCGTACCTTCCTCTTTGCTTTTCTAATTTCAATCAGGACCCATCATTTGCAATCATTTACAATCAAGATCAATTTAGGCACCCGATCTAACTTACATCACTGTATTTGAAATATCTGCGTGAAATACTTTGCATGATTTACTTATGTGTATGTTCCAGTATATTAAAGTATGAATGGATAACAATTACAGTTTAAATCAACATCTCTCTACTACCGAACTGTAGCTAGTGCTTAACTGCCCTGAAAAGCAAGCAACTTCATTATAATAGATAGCATTATAATGGACTATTAATGAATGACTGAATGTTAGTTCAGAACTTAGGTGATTAACAGCGGATAATTTATAAGATGTAATGGTAATTCCATTTTTCGAACTCTTTTGCTGTTGGTCTTCTTCAATGCACGACGGAATGGCCAATGTTCAAAATGGTACACACAAATAGATAAAAGTAAACAATTTTCATATAACTGCCTGTAATGTAATGTAATGTAAGTACTGGTTAGTCACAGTTAAAGAGGACTAAATATTTGATTCAGAATATAGCCTTCATTAAAGGACGAAAAAGAATGAATGAAATGATGCAGAAATGAATCATTATTTCGTAAAATGCAAAAGCTGATTTTTTTAAATGTGTGAAAACATGAAGAATTCGTGTTTATTTTCAGGGTGAAATTTTATCATGTTCCTTGGGCATTCGCTTCTGAACAGTGTTACAATAATAAATGTCCTGCAAAATGTGTTGCCGCCCGGACCGAAAGACCCACCTGGCGTGTTTAACAGATCATTACGACGGTACTACGATTATATTATAGGTATGTGAACATAAATATATTGAGATGTGTGGTAAAAAAAACCTCATCAAAGATACGAAGCTATAACTTCTGTCCGCCAGACGAGCGTTTCGTCAACAAAAGACTCATCAGTGACTCGAATCATAAAAGGTAAAACGGCAAATAAAGTTGAAGATCATTGAGAATACGAAATATCGAAAGGCTTTGTCAAATACAACTATGGTAATCTATTCCGGAGGTCGAAAAAAGAGTAATGTATGATTGCGAAGTGCCAATTTCAAAGGAATTTTTTTTTATAAAAGTTGTAGGTTTAAGTGACATTTGAAGCCATTTGTCTACACAATTTTCTAAAACATTACAATCAACATCTTTTAATGATAAGTTTATTGTTGATAGCTTGTACCTTTTTCCAATCAGTTGATTATTGAATTTCTGTTAATTCGACACGTGTGACGTGATAAAGACAAAGTCAGAGAGGCCCGAAAAAACAAACAAAAGAAAGATGGATGATATTGGACAACTATAATTCTTTTGCATAAAACTTTATCCAATAATAATTTGTTTCGGCACAATTAGATTTTTTTCGTAAAATGCGAAAATGGCCAGGAAGAAACCTGTTACTGGATAAGACGTCTATCATATCTTTGATTATGTATAAAGAAAATAACAATGGAGATATATATTCTCCTTGGGTAACTCCGATGGTGCATGGAAAGAATTCCGATTTTTCGTTATTATAGATAACTCTTGATTTGATGTTACCATACATATTTCTTATTACTTTATACATTTTGACATTTATGTGGTTGAGATTTTTGTTTATATCGCAGTCAATTTATCCAGATGGTATCAAAGGCCGTTGCAAATCAATGAATGCACTGTAAAGCCTTTTCTTTCGATTTGACATTATGTTTAAAATTAAGTAAAGGATGAATACATAACCAAAAGTCGAGTGGTCAATCTGAAATCAACTCTGATTATGATAAATAAAAAGCTCATCGGTGAATTTAGTTAATCTTTCATATATTACAGAAGTGAACAATTTGTCAAAAAACAGCTCAATAAAGTAATGTCTATAATTTTTGGATCTTGTTGATTCCCTTATTTTTAAAAATCGGATGTATGTTTCCTGTTAGCGACGAATTTGGTATGTGCCCGGACTCAAATATAAAATTTGATAGAAGTACGATAATGTGAATAAATGGGTCTGATATAAATTTGAGGTATTCGTTGAAGATTTTGTCATCACCGCTTGATTTATTATTCTATAACTTCAAGATGAATTTCTGTTATTTCGTCTGCTGTTATAACTGAATTCACTATCTCGTTTCAGCAGTAGTATCGTTTGCTAGATTCCTAGGGTCGTGTATTTTTTCGCTGTCATTAAATTTGAGGTTTTTAAGGAAATCACACACTATTTCGATTGGAATTTGGGGCGATTTCTTTTTTTAGTCTCGACTGAAAATATTCATGATATTTTGATATTCTTCAGAACTTTTAGTTTTCATATCTTTGATGCTTTTTCTCATATAAATTCTAAAGTTATTCAAACTTTTAAAGTTTTCTTCGAAAGTTTGTTGTTGTTGTTGAAAACTCATTTTCTTTTTTTGCTATTCAAGTCATACCTAGGTTTATAATTTTTCGTTGAAGGATTTATCATCTTTCGTGTGTGAGTGTGTGTGGGGGGGGGGGGGGGGGGGGGTTGTTATACCAAATGTGAAAGTAGCAGCTTCCTTACGCAAATCGCCTATTTCGTTAACAATATTAATGTTAATGTTAATAATATTTTGTCTTTTATTGTTTAGAAGGACAAGTTAATGATTCTTCTAATGCAGATAGTTTTTCAGCATCTACTTTAGCTTCAAATGCATCCTTTCTTTCACCGATCCATTTGATTAACTTTTCTTCACTTCCAGATCTGTTGTCAAATGCTACATGTATTTCAAATCATTGATATTTCTAATGGACAGTGTCGAGGACATCGGAAATAGTAATCTTTTTTTGAAATACGGGTGTTCCTTTGAAATAATCCACCACACATTCATTTTTACTTGTTAATTTGCCGTGATATAATTTTTACCCATTCGACCATTCATAATAAACAGATAATTGAATATGTTTATATCAAGTTGCAAGTTGCCAAAAAAGTATAACACAAATACTGAACTAAAAGGCAAATTAAAAAAGAGGAAGTCCATAAAAACTGACAAAATCAAACGCTACCAATCAGCGAAACAAGTTACAAACAACTACCATATTCCTGACTTGGTACAGGCAATTTCCGAAGAAAATAGTGGGTTTAACCTTATTTTATAGCTAGCTTAAACTTCCACGTGTATGACAGTTGTGTATAGTATTATAAACTTTACGGGAACACAACAAATTTTTCTAAAGTAATATAGCAAATAGGTTAAAACCAAAGTTGTTTTTATTTCTATCCTTATTACCTCAAATTTAGGAATATTATGACTTACTAGTTTGCCTTCATCATCTTGCTGTTAATCATTGATCTCATCGATAATATAATTCAGATCTATTTGTATAAAACCCGGACTGGTTGCCATTCGGCTAATAAACATGTTAAAGTCCCCTGCGAAGCATATATATTATCAATCGCTCGAACAAATTAATAGTTTGTTTTCAATTCCACGGAACGAATCGGCTGATCTTTAATGAGTATTTTCTGGCGAAATGTATACATTGCCAACAAAGTCATCAACATCTAGATAATTGAAAGCAGAAGAGAATTTAAACCTATTTGTTATTACTTTTCATAGTTTTTATGTGTTCCCGGTAAGTTTTTTAAAAGCCTTTGATTAAACCTCCGTATCTTCTGTTATTTAATATCCGTATAATTTTCATCTCTTGAATATAAGCTAGAATGAAAATTTCATCGCAATCAACGGTTTTTATGTCTCTTGTAAGCAAATACCATCATATGAATTAATAAGTTCAATAAATTCAGGATATAGTATTCGTCTTTTTATACTGCAAACGTTTAAGGAAAGTATTTTCAAACTAGTTATGTCAATATCGGAGTTCGATCTAAGATTCCCCAAATCGCAACAATATTCAGAATGAGTTAGTTTGTGCTCTTTTATTGGCCTGTTTGTGTTCAAACAACATCATAATGTGGATTCAAATATTCTGCAAAAGACTATTTTCCAAAAAAAATCGGAAATTGTAAAATTAACAAGATGTTGCGTAGTTGAAATTATTTTCTGTTCAGTGACAACTATATACGCATTAGTAATATGGGTATTTCTGTAGTATAAAGGATAAAAAGCAATAATTTAAATCGACGAATTTAACAGTCCCAACTACTTGCAAGTTACCTTTGCAGTTGTCAATCGAAACGCTATAGCCATGGTTCCCGGTAGTATGCACATGACGCATGAAAATGAATTTCTTTTTGATTGAAGTTGGCGGTGGTTCTGCAGGGTCTGTGCTTGCTGCACGTCTGACAGAGGACAAAACATCTGTCTTGCTTTTAGAAGCTGGTGGATCTGATTTGGAAAACGAAGCCACTGTTATACCAGGGGCATCGGGAAATCTATTAAGGACTAAGCAAGACTGGAATTTTCATAGCGTTCCACAGAAATATTCATCTTTTGCTATGGAGAACAAGGTAATTACGATATGTTTATATTAAATTTATATTAACTTTTAACTATTGATTACTTTACCTTTGCCGGGTCCTTTGCATTGTAACAATAAACAGCTTAGAGAGTTGTTAGCAAAATGTCAAAAATTTTAAATTCCCCAGCCTATAAACTAGAAGAATAATTTCAGATAACAGATGGATCTAGTCGAAGTTTTAAGCTCGAGCTATTTGATCCTTAACTGAACATTTTATCTTAAGGATCTGCTTTGTTTGATTATGCATTCAGAATCGAATTCAAAAAGTAATATCAATCATGAGCACACGGGTTTTTTATGCTTTTATGATGCACGAGGTTGTATGTTATTGTTCATACAGACAAAGCCTCCAGGCATAGTATTGTATATGCAAGAATCATTAGTAGGATTTCGTAAAATGAACGTGCAATTTACAGCCATTCAATTAATCCCACCTTTACGCCAACATCATTTATGAAAAACGAGATTTAAGTAAATCACTAATTCGTCCTTTTGTCATTGACTAAGCTGTATTAGGCAAAACCTTCGGCATTTTGACCCTTAATGCTCTTTCGCTTCGTATTTTATTTGATTTTTTAATTTTTTTGATATGAGCGTCACTGATGAGTCTTTTGTAGACGAAACGCACATGTAACGTCTTTGATGAGTTTTTTTTTGGTATTTAAATCCAAAGGACAATGAAAACATTCCTTCTTCCCACTGAATTACTAAACGCTACATGGATCCTTGCAGTGAACGATACATAGCTTGTTCGTCAGAATGTTCGACTTAACATCGTTTGAAAGCTCTAATTTGCATTATTTTAACATTAAAATATTGCCGCAAAAATATGGTGAGGATTGGTATAATTGTCATTGTGTCAATCAGGTGTGGATGTTTTATATATCTAAAGATCTACTATATAATGGTAAATGATAATCGATCAAGTCTGACTTGCAATATATTACTTATATTGAAACTATTGATTTTTCTACGCTCTACATCACAATTCCCGATTCAAAATAGAATGATCTTTAAACAGTCTGGTTATTCAGAAAAAAAATGGGACTCGTAGAAACCAATGCTTGGTAATTAAGGGAGTGCAAAATCTTCCTTTGTTAAGATCCAAGCCGCATTCAACAACAAATTCACAGAAGATGATATCATCAAAATGCTGGCCTTTCTAATATACAACATATCTGTTGTATTTCGTGAATATATATTTAAGTTTGTATTGTACAGGTTGTAATGGATACTAATTGTGCAATCCTTCAGACTTATTTTTATACTTATATGACGCACAATTCATACCAAGCCTTCTCAAAGAAAAAAGTAGAGGTATCTTGTTAAGTTCTTTTCATCAACCTTTATGTATATTGATGCTGTTCTGCTTTTTAACATCCATCATTTCAGCGAGTGCTTGCATCTATAATATCACAGTGCCCTCGAAATAAAGTATACTTTAGGCACTAGTAACGATTTTTAATGTTTTCTTGTTTTGTCACAGACGGACGACTCCACATCAGGATCTATGACAAACGTGACGATTTCAGCTTTCTGACTGTCAACTCAACTCCCCTTTTCCTAGTAGTAAAATACCCTCCGTGCCATCGTATAGGGTTAATAATATGTCAATTGAACGTTGAGCTCGTGAATGTGCACATTATACATACTTCATAAACACAGATGTGATCATAACATAAAAAATCTCTTTTAGTAGGATAAGCATCCGGTCTAGCTCGGTTGGTAGTGCATGCAATTCCCTCAGGTTAAGCTTTAAACTTTGATTTGTATTTGCTCAAATGATTTTCGAACATCGGCAGACTTGTTTTTCCTCTAACTTATAAAGAAGAACAACTGAAATAGACGCTTGATAAGTTTTACGGCCAAAAAAACAAATTGGTTGACCCATACATTTTTTTGTTTTATTACATATCTTAACGTTTCATGCTCATTAAACTAACTTCAATGGTACACTCTTTATATATATATCAAATTTGACAGCAAATATATTTGGCTAGTGGTAAGATGTTAGGAGGATGCGGGAGTATGAATAGTATGGTTGTGATCAGAGGTAGTCGCCATGATTATGATGAGTGGGCAAAACAAGGATGTAAGGGTTGGAGCTACAAGGAAGTTTTACCCTACTTCAAAAAGATGGAAACAATGAAAATACCGGCACTATCGGGTTCACGTAAGTACGATAACTGGGTGTATATACACTTTTGAAAAAGCACCGTCTGAATTATACAGCATTTCAAGTCACAAGGACAAAAATCAAACTTCGGATGAACCACGGTAATATGTAACACGTACATAGACACATAAGGGATGCAGACAATAAATCGCGTGCACGTATCATAAACAGTCATGTGCTTGCTAACGGGCAAACATGAATAAAAACTTCACCCTACAATTTAACTGCAGAGGTGGACATACACATTGTTTTATGTTTTTTTTTCAATATTCACGTAAATTGTATACTGTTTGTATAAATTCCAAAACAAAATAGTGAAATTTTTAATTAACTAGAAGAGTAAAAGAGGGACGAAAGATACCAGAGGGACAGTCAAACTCATAGATCGAAAACAAACTGACAACGTCATGGCCAAAAATAAAAAGACAAACAGACAAATAATAGTACAGATGACACAACATAGAAAACTAAAGACTAAGCAACACGAACCCCACTAAAAACTGGGGGTGATCTCAGGTGCTCCGGAAGGGTAAGCAGATCCTGCTCTACATGTGGCACCCTTATTTTATGGTGCCGTTTACGGTCTCTTATTTCATTTCGACTCGGGAAACATTTAGGCAAATTATTTTAAAATGTTAACGGTAATTAAAAGACATATTTTGTCAGTTACCGGGCTAAAATAGCAGGACCAAACATTACTCTATAGACATGAATCATTTAAGGTAAAATATGTATTGCCTACTTCATATTATAAACGATTTTCTATAAAAGTAATGTTTAATGGCTAAGCCAATTGAACTTTGGAATGTGTTTTTGAGAGGTAATATACTTCCTTTGTGGGCATATGTTTTTATGAACGATGTTATAAAATATTTTTAGTCATAAAGCATGTAATTATACTTTCAGCTTATAGAGGCACAAAAGGAAAAATAGTTGTGACACCTAAGTCTAGCACAACTTTAGAATTTTTCAATCGGAAAGCTGCTTCGGAAATTGGTTACCGTTCTGTTGATTGCAATGGATACAGCCAAATAGGTACAATTACCACTAGTGTCAATGGCAAGGTGTTTACTGTCAATATATTGTTCTTATTAAAACAACATCTATCTTGAAAAGAACTTCAAAAATTTCCTTTTTTTTCATCAAAATGTTTAAGATCTCAATAAAACAGTACTATTCCTTAGTAGAATGTGCAAAATTACAAGCCTTAATGCCATTATTAAAGAGAAAGTTGTCTTATCTTCTTGTTAACTACTTCAAAGAATATGTTTTACATACACCTATTTCCGAATTCATGCATTCTTGAATACTACATATCGTCTGCTAATTTCATACAAATGTATATTATGATTAATAGAAGGCATGGTCAAATTATAATATTGCCTTATAAGTCATTCAAAAACTATTTAGTACCATTTCATTGAGGCTATTTATTAATTCCAAGTAAATATTAATATGGCATGCTACAAATTTAAAAAAAGTTAACTATGATGTCAAATTTATAAGAAGAATAACCTGGATTACAGAAAGCAACTGCAGATTTTATAAACTACGATTTGTCGTACCAGAGATATATAAGTATATCTTCATAAATATGTTTAGAATTTCCACATGACATAGAACAACAACAACAAAAACAGCACTACGGGGCTATTTCGTGGCGGTAAATTTTTATCGGTGGAGGAAGCAGGAGTACCATGAGAGAACCTCAGACCTTCGGTAGGAAAAATGACAATCCAAGTCAAATAAGATATGAGTCGAGCGCACCTACCATTTGCGGAATCCAAATTCGTTCGTAACCTCAGTGTTGACAGGCTATTGACACACTACTTAGACCAATCGGCCACCGAAGCCTAAAACAAAACGATATACACATAATACAAAGTATGGTGGAGGTGAGTTAACAATATATCATATTCACCTCTGTCAATCGAATGTCCTCTATTATTCGCGTTGTTATCAAGTTCCAAAACTATTTACTTAGCAAAACATTGTAACCATTGTGTTAAGCTTATTTCAGGCGTATAACAAAAACAGAAAAACAAGACTTTTCTTAAATAATAAGCAAGTAATCATTAGTATTATATCAAGATCATGTAGTAATAGATTACGATGACGATAGTATATCGAGGTTAAAATCCCGAAAAATTTATAAGAGACCCCGCACGTGGCAGGTGCGTTCGTATCCAATCTTAAATCTTAATTGACTAGAATTGCAAGTTTTCCTGCCGAAGGTCAGTTGTTCTGTGGCCAATAAAAACTGGCCTCTACAAAAACCAATAGTGCTTAAAATAGAATATCAATGTAACTAACACATACTGAGGGAATTGCATGGACACTAAAAGGAGCCATAACTGGTGCGTCGACAAAGTAAGCGTGTCCCGATATGCGTGCATCACCGGCTACGAAAATCCACATCCCGTCAACATGTTATAATCGGAAATAGGACACACACGGTAACATTACAGATCAAACGACAATAATATCTACAGATCTAAGATAACAAAACATGTCACTAGTGAGTTGAGACACCAAAACTGTCATATCGTTTAGATCAACACATTTGTAACAGTAACCGTAAAATGTATGTTCCTTTTTACCTATATTTCCTTTCTAAAATCAGGAGAATATTTGAATTTTCATATATTAAAAGTAGTAGAGTAAAACATTAATTTCCATTGCTTACGGAACATGAGGAAATATGAATAGTTGTTCACCCGAGAAATTTCACATTTCCCGAGGGCATATCCAATCATATCTCGCGTTGACAAGGGAAATAAATGTATAGTCTCCCTCTGTTCTTGTTTAACAAAAAAAAATGTACACATACTCATCTGTCATATATAAATGTTTACCCTTAAACTGCGTTAATTAAGCCTATCAATATATATCATTTAATATATAAAAGTTAATACACATTGTATTCACCTTTTGCTGCATATAAAGGTGTGCAATACACGTATGTTCACCATTTTTAGGATACTGTCCAAATCAGGCAAATATAAAAAACGGTGAACGTTGTAGTTCAACTACATGCTACCTTAGACCTGTTATGTACCGACGTAATTTACAAATCAGTTTAAACAGCTATGTTACAAAGGTAGGTAGAACTAGTAATAGATATTTGTGTAAGAAATCAGGCGAAAAATACCAAAGGGACATTTGAACATATAAGTCGAAAATAAACTGACAACGCCATGGCAGAAAAAAAGGAAAAGACAAAAAGACAAACAACACTATACAAATCACAACAAAGAAAACTAAAGACTGAGCAACACAAACCCTACCAAAACCGGGGGTGATCTCAGGTGCTCCGAAAGGGTAAGCAGATCCTGCTCCCTATGTGGCGACCGTTGTGTAGGAAATGAATGTATCGTAATTAGGCTTATTTATACATTATAATATGCTTAGACATAAGTGCTTACAGGTATTTTTCAATGATCATTTGCACATTAGAATGATCTACTGTTTTTTTATGACATTTAAAATTGGTCAATTAACAGTGTACATTTAACTAAGAAAGACAAATTTAGAAACGAAATTATAGAAATAACTTTCTAAGTTTATTATTTTAGCATAAATGTATATTATTTAGACACGAACAAACTATGTTTTACTTCTCCACAAATTTGAGCATTTTACTTTTATTAATGTTCTATTGGATTGTAGGTACTTATTCGTGGAAAACGCGCTATTGGGGTACAATTTGTGAAGGGAGGGCGAATATATAACGTTTATGCTCGTAAAGAAGTCATCATGTCTGCAGGAGCATTCGGTTCACCACATATATTACTTCTGTCTGGTGTTGGGCCAAAAATGCATCTTCGAAAGTTCAAGGTAAGTATTTTCTATTTTAATTCATCTTTTTCAATGTATAAGATTTTTTTTTTCAAAATAAGCTATCGATCTATCGAAATAAAAACGGTACTATGTAGTGACATATTTTTAATAATAATCATTGAAATACTTACGGTTTATTCGACATGTTTTCGCGGTCTTAGATACTTAGATACCAGGGAAGTCGTCTGATCTGTTATTTAGCGATTTTGTCCTATTCTAGATTGTGAAATTGTGACCGAGTGTTGAAACGCAGCATGGTTAATTCATTGATACCAGGAGACGCCGCGTATCCTGTCGACACACCGGTTTCTCTGTTTTTGAAGTTCATGCGATTCCCTCAGTTTCTTTTTGTTACCTACGTTTTTATCCTTTCAATCGATTAATGAGATATGAACATCAGTAAACTATTCTTGCCTTAATTTAGTCGGGAAATCAATACAGTCATGTAAATATCACATGGGTCAATCTCGCACTAACAGTAATGGAAAATAGTTATAAAGAAAAGGATCCGTCTGAATGAATCTCATCTTCAGGAAACAAAAAAATTATCTGTTGGTGAGATGATGAAAAATTGCCAACGAAGCTCTCCAGTCAGGATTTTTTGTGTAAATCACAAATAATTTACAAGAGAGGCGAAAGATACCAAAGGGACATTCAAACTCATAAGTCGAAAATAAACTGACAACGCCATTGCTAAAAATGAAAAAGACAAATAAACAAACAGACAAACAGCAGTACACAAAACACAACATAGAAAACTAAAGACTCATCAACACGAACCCCAACAAAAACTAGTAATATTAAAAATGATTACGTATTCATCGTATTGGTTTCATTGAATCATAATCCTGATTAAAGATGACTATGTCTAGCCGAATCTTTTTCGACGTTACGAAACACAATATGGAATATTCAAAAGAGATAAGTGATACATTCGTACGGAATTGCTATGGAAGTCTTTTTGGAAGAGTTTATTAATATTGATCTAACCCTTAAAGTCAATCAAAGGACTAATACACTAGATTGTAATTTGAATGCGAACGTAACTGAGTAAATTAAAGACACAATTGTATTGAATCAAATGCATTATGAACATGATGAAGGGACTGTATTTTTCACAAGCAATAGAGAGGTGAATAATCAATCAGGTTAATCCTAATTAGTCAATTTATAAAGCTATATTTGATTTTATTAACATTCTATTTGTTTATAAATAGATTCCAGTGCATGCTGATCTGCCCGTTGGAAACAACTTACAAAATCACCCCATCCTTGTAATGCCTTATTCAATCAATACGACGCTGAATATCAACGTGAAAAAATTGACGGATCCTGAGACTGTTTTAGACTATATACTTCACAGGAAAGGTATATATTAAGTAATATGAGAACAAACATTGAGGAAATTAAAACATTTTATGAATATTTTGAGATATGGTATGAATCCAAAAGATAAAAAAAAATCCTAATGAGGCTGCAATCCACCAGTGACCAAAAGGACAAGGTGGTAAACAACTCTTCAGTATGGTGCAGCCTTCTTGAATGAGCAATGTTTTTATGATGCTTTAACAAAATGTTAAGCACTGGCCTAGTGTATGCTAAAATAAAAATATACAAAAACAAATATGGCAGACGGAAACCAACGCAATTCAGTTATTACAGGTCCCGGACTTGGGACAATCACATAAAACATGTGGCAGTGTTAAACATGGTTGTCAGCGGTCAGCTCTCCGTAAAACACGGGACAGTGGTGTAACAGCACAATATAAAAACAAAACGTATAAATTAGTTGGAAAAGGCTACACTCAACGGCACGAAGCACAATAAAAAATAATACGAGGACAAAATACAAAACGAACCGATCGGAGAATACACGACCCTTTAAGAAACTCATTTTATGCTTATTGTTCCCGTCCCCCTTTCCCCGAATGTGACCTACCCAATTATACTTATTATCGAGTTTGTACTAACATGAGCAACACGAAGGGTGCCACATGTGGAGCAGGATCTGTTTACCCTTCCGGAGCATCTAAGATAACCCCCAGTTTTTAGTGGAGTTCGTGTTGCTCAGTCTTTAGTTTTCTATGTTGTGTTTTGTGTACTGTTGTTTGGTCTTTGTCTTTTTCTTTTTTAGCCATTGCGTTGCCGGTCTATTTTTTCACTTATGTGTTTGAAATTCCCTTTGGTATCTTTCGCCTCTCTTTTATTGCATGCATGCTCTAGTGAAAAGGTCAACGAACAATTAAAAATTGTAATCTATATATAACTAAATTATACTTCAATTTAAATATATATCTACCCAAATTATTTCATAACTGCAATTTAATCACACTTCTGTGATGACAGTTTCAGCTTCTTAAGAATAAGAAACCTTTTTAATTAAAGTTCAAAATGATAGGTAAGTGAATGTTATCTGGGAACTTAAAGAACCATACAAATGTATTGTTTATTACCTTATAACTAACATGAAATCAACAAACAAATTTCAAAACAGTTGCTAGGAAATCGTCAAAATGAAAGGTGCATGAGTGAATCTAGTTAATCTACAGTATTAATAGCTGGTTAACGCTTAGGTTGTGAGTTGATTCCTGTACGTAGCAGGTGCGTTTGACTCCAATCTTAATTGACTAGAACCGCTAGTTTTTCTGCCAAAGTTAGGTAATTCTCCGGGACCTTCGGCTTTCTCAAACAATAAAAACTGGCCTCCACGATATAGCATACACTCTTTTTCCATTACAAATTGGATAGAAATATTTCTATCAACTCTTAAAAAACTACTGAATAATTAATTAAAATTATATCTGCCAGCAAATTTATAATTCTATTTGCAAATGGTCGATGCATCAATAATAAACAAACAAGGTTTCCTCAGCAAACATTTCTTCTACCATACTGTTCACAATATTACAACAGAACAAACACAATATAGAAAACTTATTTGTGTACAAACGTCCTCTCTTAGTGTGTAACGTATGGGTACCATCAAAGTAATCAATAGCTTTGAGCAAAAACGAAAGTATGATTAGGCCATTTTTTGCTTGCCCTTTGAATTCGAAAAAAAAAGAAAGTGTTATAAATGTACCAAATAAAAATCTTACTATGTTGATACGACATAAGTATTTATATATTAAAATTTTGTATTATATATTTTCACCATTACTTTAAACTTTTTACATTTAGCGAAAGACCGCGAAAACTGTCAAAATAGCCTCATTTTGTCAATAATATTTAGATATGAGCAACAGCTTTACCCCAAAACAAATTTGCTTCATAATAGAGTTTACAAAGATTTTAATGCGTGTACAATATATTTTAAGGTAAAGCTGTTGCTCATACATATTTTCGATGTCTTTATGACATCATAGTAACATCACAAGAGACCCTTTCTGTACTTACGTGTCCATATTAAGTCAATCTGTTATTTATCAATACAAGTACTAATAACATAATGTTGAAAGGCTTAAATAAGTTTACAATTTTTGCAATCTCATGGCAAACTAATGCCTCTTATTATACCGCATACGTACTTTGTCGCTAGTTCAAAAAGAACACTATGCTTCAAAATTGTGTTTTTTTCAAATTCGGAGAGAGGCAAAAGAACGGCAAAAAAAAAAACGAAAAACGATGCAAAAAAACAAACAACAATTTACAACAATCTACATATAAAACTAACAATAAGCAACATGAACCCCACCGAAAACCCGGAGTTTTAATAGGTGCTCGGCAATAATAAGCATTTCGGCTCAAAATGGGGCACCCGCCGTGTTGCTGATAGTAGGTGAAAAATACGTTGGGAAGTCTCATTCGGTAATGTCATAATTCGGCAGAATGCCTACGACAAGTGATACATATCCGTGACACAGATATTTCACAGCGATAAACCAACTCATGATGGCGCCCATAAGATTTAGAAGGGAATATTTCAACTTGACCACTTAAAATCTTTGGTTTAGTATACGGGGTATAATATAGGGGTTGTGTTATCATGGAAAACCTCATAAAAGATATCAGGCTTATAATTTGGTACGAGAGAGATCATTTTGTCTACAATTGACTCATCTTGGCGCTTTGATGAAAATAGTATGAGTGTTCCTAATCTATGCTTGATATGAATGTATGCAATACCCCAGTTGTTAATTAAATATTACTAATTCTATGTCCAGAAAAATATTAATTCAAAATTACAAAAAACGAATTTCTGTTAAATGGTCTCAGAGCAGTTGTGTACACAAGGCGTTGTTCCAATACTCCAACTAATGGTCAAAGTCCCTTTAAATCCTTAAAATTGTTAAATCAAATTGGCGGTCTTATATGACCAACTAATCATGATGCCAAACAAAAGTACTACGTATGAGAGCTTTCCGTGAAATTGTCTAAGAGGAGTTCCGTTCACAAGGTGCTCTGTCACAATACTCCAAACCATTTCACCCGTAAAATTAGTCAATATAACATGATCAACGTCGCATTATAGCAAACAATCTCACCAGGTATGAGAGCTCTTTTTAACATGGACTGGAGTTTCATTCACAAGGTGGCATTGTTTCAATACTAGAACAAATGATCAAAACCAAATTAATCCCGTAAAAATAATCAAATCAAGATCATTACCATATATCCCGCTGCGCAACGGGCGGGTACACAAATCAAACATTGATTAATATTGATGATACCCTATAGGTCCCCAGGAAGATATACTCATTTGAGGATTATATTTTCGTTGCTTTGCATTTAAAACGGGGAAGATATAGCAACTTTATTCGGCCGCTACAATAGCATTTACTACTTGGACGATTACGGCTGGTGTCTTTCATTTTTTTACATTTTATATGTATATACACGTAATCTCATTTATTACTCAGAGGTATTTGTTCTGAAGCTATAAAACTCGATAAAAAATAACTGAAAAATCTTAAAATTCACCGTATGACGGAATCATTTGTTTGTAAAGATATCGGAACCCCCATTTAAGTTGGAGACAAATTTTGTATTTTTGAAAAAAATAAATGGTTCTTTTAAATTAAAGGATTTAATAATTATCTGCATGAGAAACTAATTTGGTTGATTGTAATGCATATGTGTATTAGTTATATATTTATGTCATATACGGATTCATGTTACTAATCATGATAAACCAGTATTACTGTTTCAGTTTATTGAGAAGGAAAGGGTGGCTGTTGATTTACATACAATGACAATGTAATGAACAACGCATTTGCATAAATATATACTACCCTTTGTTGATTTAGAACTGATTTTAATCTGAATGACAACAAGTCATGCTTTATCATTCAAATAGCTCGTTATTTAACATCTGAAACATACACGACCGATAAGGAATGACTGTAATATTTTTTCTGTCTATGAAGAAATAACATTAAAAATGTGGTGCACACTAAATTACCCGCGTAGCGTTTTATTCAAAAGTGTGGACCACATTTGTGAGATTATTTTGAATAAACAGGAAAAAATATTACAGTCATTCCATATAAGTTAATTCTAAAATTCCATTTTAAAAGAGTAAACATGAAAGAACGTTGATGACGTCACGGTCACATGACTAAATTTTGTCTATCAGCCGATCAGAAGACGTGTAACATCCAAAATTAAATTTTTTGCAGGTACAACATGAACTTTTAAACCGAACTACTGACAGTTCATTTAATGTTTTTCTATGTTTGTTGCATCCAAAAAGCAAAGGATATGTACGACTGGCAACCGCTAACCCTTTAAGACAGCCTCTACTGGACCCCAGATTTTTAGCAAATCCTCATGACATAGAAATGTTTTTAAAAAGTAAGTAAAGAAAAAAAGTAAGGTATGGTGTAAAACATTGGAGAAGGAAGGAAATTATACAAGACTTAGGGATAAAAAAGAAAAAAATACCTTAATGGTGGATAAAATGAATGCCAAATTCATTTCCGTCAGACAACTATATATTTTACTGTTTATTTCAAAATACTAAGAATGCTTCACAAAGGGGTATATTATTCACAAGGCAAATGACTTCAACGATATAAAAATATAACAAAGAAGATTGAAAAGAATTATTTACAATTAGTGTAAAATCAAAAAGATGAAAAAGGACATTCTTTCTAGCAACGCAATTCTGTTCAATGGTCCTTCCTGACTGCAATGTTAAATAAAATACAGAATTGTTATTTGACTAAACTCGTTGATATATTTAGTTAGTGGGACTCCCGAATAACAGTGTCATTGTATTTATATTAACGTAGTGATGTAAGTAAACCAACTTAAACTCCTATTTCAAAGATTGCTGTAGTATTTGCTTAATCACTTTTAGCTAGATTGATTGGCAAAGGTCACTTTGCATAAAACTGAGACATTATAATACTAATAAGTACAAATGTATAAATTTCTATAAAATATGCAATTCTTTGAAACTGCGTTCGATAACTCCAGTACTACATGTATTATAGTGATTCGTTGGACACAGCAATTGGAGAAGACTTCGTCATGGCGGAGCCTTGATGTTAGACTTATTAGATATGACATGGAAGGACATTGTGGAGAATTAAAATTCAATACGGACAACTACTGGAGATGCATTATTCGACATTTTATAATATCGGGATGTCATCCATCAAGTTCGTGTAGGATGGGTTCAAAAAGAGATCCAACTGCAGTTGTAGATCCTACATTAAGGTATTATCAAAATATTGTTTAAGCTTCTAATTTGTTTTTTTACATACTATTTGATCATATAGCTCTTTTCGAGGTTTAGGCCTTATACATCAATGGCTATAAAAAATGCTTAGGTTTGAGCGTTCCTGATGAAGGTAAATCCAGAAAGGCCCTTCGGACTCACAAAGTTAATGGAATGTTATTTAAATATGAAATGTATAGATTGTTATTTTCATTAATATAACACAACAAAGATGACTAAACAACTGTTTGAACAAAAACTAGGCAGAATATAAATATCTAACGCATAATGAATTACGAATGACGTCCAACCACAGTAAAAGTAAACTGTCAATGTGCCATCTTCATTTGTATTTGACTAAATGTTGTTTGACATATAAGTTAAAATCCAGAACTGCATGTGAATACTTTTGTGCAATGCAAACACTATTGTTGCAACATGTCCATCGTTTCAATACTGTTTTACTTTTCATAAACGTACACTGAATACATCTACTTTAACTGGTATACTTATTTCATTGATTCTAACTTGTTGCGTTTAATGTTATCATATAATGGTTCATATATAAAACATCATGTTTCTTTAATTCAAATCACTAAATGTCGTTGGTGCATGTATTGAATATTAGTATACATTAATCGAATAAGCGTTTTATACTCCTAGTTGTTTAATAACAATTAATATGTTTCAGGGTAAAAGGTATAAAAAATCTGAGAGTAGTTGATGCATCTGTCATGCGCAATGTTATATCTGGTAATACTAATTCACCAACGATGATGATTGCAGAAAAGGCAGCTGTTATGATAAAATGTGGAACCAAATATTAAAATCTAACAATTACTGAAGGATGTGTACCAAACGTAATGTTTACGGTCACGTTAATTTAAAGATGTGTTTGTAACTGACAACTGAAAGTAGAATGCACTATATGTTCTTACTTTTATTTCTTTTTTATTTCATGATTGTCAATCGTGAAAATTCTTTGGTGTGTACTTGTTTTTTCATATTTTTCGGTTACTTGTGTTAGTAGCAAGCATGATTGTTAGTAAGAAAAAAAAAATATCATATATAGGGAAGAAAAACACCAACAGGACAGCTTCTTAGCGTTTTCATAACTTAAAATGATAAACAGTATACACATATATGTGGTGTATAAATGCCTTACACTAACATCCTTTATGTACTCGACAAACCCCATAGCCAAACATCAGCATTGCTTTCCTGTTCTTCATCTGAAAGTCACAGGTCACACTCAGATCATCAACAGAGCAAACCCCAGGCTTCAGTTAAAGATGTAGACGACTCAAAAGCCGATTTGATCGGAAATCGTTGCTAAATATCAGTATTGCTACATTTGACCACTGATAAGAAATGATGGAAAAGAAAAACAGGCAAAACTAAAGTCAAAAACGACGAAATGACAAAGTCCACATGCAGTACACCCAAAATTCATGATAGAGTACACAAAATCCGAGTTGAACTCAGATACTCTAGCAGAGTAAGCAGTTCCTGCTACACTTATGCAACCCGTCATTTTGATATCAATATATTTTAATACGCGCCAATGCCTTAATCTCAAAGATATTTTGGATAACCATTTGGTTCTTATTTATCGCGTGTATCAAAAAACAATGCACGGTACGAGCATTTACGGCTGAACCGATGAACGAGAACAATAGAATAAACATTTTTCTGATGATAAAGTCGGTGACGATACTGATCAAAAAATATTTCTAAACAACAATTGTAAATAAAGGCAACAGTAGTATACCGCTGTTCAATAGTTATAAATCGATTAAGCGAAAACAAATCCGTGTTACAAACTAAAACCGAGTGAAACACATTTAAAATGCATTTAAAATAAAGTTACTAAAACTGTGTTATTAGAAATATACATGCAAAGACACGATGTTGTGTGTTCATTGTTTACAAGATAACTGCATTAGAAACTAGTGAAACTGAAATTTAAAAAATGTTAATCTTTGCTGGATATTGATAGAAAAAATGGAAAAAATCATATGAATACAAAATCTAGAGATCTTTCAGTTCAAAAATTTTCGGAGTGTTCCATAAAGTCCTGGATATGTTACAATTTCCTAAAAAATATTCCTATTTTTCACATCTTAAGTCTTCGAGTACACCGTTCTGCTCTTGTCACGTGAACTTTCAATATAAAAATATTGTCATTTCGTGAATATAACAATTTAAAAGTCATGTCTGTGCAGGTTCAAAAATTAAAGATAATATTCTTATAACGTAGCTTATTTGTTATAAAAAATTATTTTTTTATACAATTTTAAGAAAAAGTCATCTCGATTTCTGTACAAGTATGTGCGGTCTTCTCGTTCTATTCACATTCACTGTTTACATCGGGATAAGGTCCGTTTGTATTTGCTTAGTAACTTAATTTCAAAAGTGTTAATCTTTGCTGCATATCAATCGATTCCATTTAATTTTTTTGCTCTGAACTTCTCTGATCTAGCTGCATCCATTTACCGATAATTGGCGTGTTCCAGAGAGGTATACAGCCAGTAGATAAATAAATTGAAGTTGGTACTCAAAGAATGTATTTGCATAGCAACATATTAAACCCATTTTACACAAAGCATGTTGTACTCGTCGTTTGCTAATTTAGGAGGAAAATGATAATATAATATGAACATTTTGTTTTCGCTACAATTGTATTAACCAGAACGTTTTCTTGTGAATTTATAATTAACAGCGTCCTTGCTAAAACGAGACAAACATTGAATGGATCAGGATGTCTGTGTTTACAGGGGAGGTAATATTTTGTCACTAGATTTCCCACTGATTATAACTATAACGATACATCTATATCTATATATCGGTATCACCCAATGAGGTACCTACTGAAACCGCATATATTGTTTCGTCTGTGGTTTAGTCGTTACATATGGTCTTCGATGTGTTAACGTTACAGTACAGACTTAAAGTCTTATTTTTTATACTTGGCAATAAAATAAAAGGTTAATATCTTTTTGAGTATAGGGACCAATATCACTGTTCACAAAAGGTGTATTGATGATTACGCTCAAAGTAATACATTTCGTAAACCTAATATGAGTAGCTTTTGCAGGCATCAAAGCATAGGAACCTAGTTAAGGTAGCACGATACAAAGAGTTTATACCTCCAATTCTCCAGTTTTAAAATGCTGTAACTGTCTTTATAATGCTTGAAAATTTATAAAAGTGGTATTTATGAATAGCTAACAGATTACTCTTTCAAATTAATGCAATGCTAGTATCATACAACAATTATGTAATCAATTATAATGTTAACTGTGTCTACAAAAATTTACAAGAAATTTCCACTTTCAATTGAAATTAGCTTCTTCATGGATACCCCGAGAGGGTTGATTTTATTATATGTTATTACTAGAGCCATTATCTACAAAAGGGTGTCTCAGATTTTGGATAGAATGTAAAGATCAAATTTTACACCTAATCAAACATTATCTTAGTTTATGTGGTAAGGATGTTTGCACTAATTACATATTTATGAGAGAATGGAATACGATAGCGATAATTTGAGATACCCTTTTGTAGCTCCTGCTGTGTTGATTAGGATTTCGTTAAAATTTTCTGTATTGTTATAGAGATGATAGAGCTAAATTCATTCAAGTGAACTGACCAAGATTTTGCCATTAATTGCATAATAATTGATTACATAATGATTACATAACAAAAATATTGCATTCATTTAAAAGATTAATCTTTTATCTATCTATGTATACCTCTTTTATTAATTTATATGCAGTCTTAAGAAAGTGACAGCATTTGAAAGGTTGGAGATTGGAAGTAAAAAGATCTTTGTATTGTGCTACCTTAAGGGCTATTTTAAATGTCAAGAATGCTAGTTTTTACTTTAGTTTCCCGTTATTTGTCTTCGTGCTTTTATGTTTCTTTTGGTCGTATGACTTTTGAAGTGACTCGGTATTTATACATCCCACCAACGGGTTTTTAATTATAAACTCTGGGCATTCCTGGTGCAGGTGGGTCCTGAGATGCGATTCGGACACAAAGACCTTTTACAGTGTTGCTTCTATTTTGTTTACCATTGTATTTATATTTACTTTATTTTACTGTATCGAGAAAGTTTATATACTATACACGGCATGTGCTATCAACGGCAAAAAAAAAATTTTGTTGACGTCATTTTCAATTCTAAATTTACTATCTACTACACTTTTTTTGTATGTTTGCTTGAATTTTTTAGTCAGTTGTGTTGTATGTCTGTGATGTATGTTTACACAATTTTTGACTGCTGGATCCAAATTGGCACATTTACCTTTTATTTCTCTGTGGGTTGCTCACCCAATTTTGTCAATATAACGGAACTATAAACAACTGGCATACAAGTGAAAGGTTTAGCTAGCTATAAAACCAGGTTTAATTCACCATTCTCTTCGGAAAATGCCTTTACCAAGTTTGAAAATACGGCAGTTGTTTTTCTCTTGCTCCGTTGATTGATGGCGTTTGATTTTGTCAGATTTTATGGACTTCCCCTTTTTGATTTGCCTTTTGTTTAACACAATGCCTCTGTCATTGAACTTAGTATATTCCGTTTTTTCTTTCAGATGCATAACCAAAGAAATGTTGATCTTGAAAATTATAAAAATAAGAATAAGTGGTATGATTGCCAGTGAGACAACCTTCCATCCAAGTCTAAATGACGTAAAAATAACACCTTAAGGTCATCGTACAGCCTTTAACTATGAGCAAATCCCAAACCGCTTTGTAAGCCTTAAAAGGTCCAAACAATACAAATGTAAAACAATTCAAACGAGAAAACTAACGGCCTGATTTGTGTACAAAACAAATAACGAAAAAAAATATGATATTTAGCAAAAAACGACAATCACTACATTATAGGCTCCTGACTTGGTACAGGCACACACAGAATATGGCTGGCTTTAACAAGTTTTCTGGCGCCATATCCTCTCCTAAACATAGGACAGTGGTGTAACAGTACAACACAAGAACAAACTAAAACAATCAGATCGATACAAAACAATATTCAAAGTACAATGTTTAATTGGTAACCTTTAACAAAAAGTGTACGTACAAATTCGATAAGTTTACCGGGATTGAATCTAAATGTACGAACTCGGTAAACAATATAACCGTAAAATGTGGATATGCTATCATGTTTCTTATACGTTTTCTACGAGTATAGTTTTAAAAAGTAAAATAACAAAAATACCGAACTCGAAGGAAAATTTAAAACGGAAAGTCCTTTATCAAATGGCAAAATCAAAAGCTCAAACACATCAAACGAATGAAAAACAACTGTCATATTCCTGACTTGGTACAGGCATTTAAGCTCAAATGTGACGTCACTTTGTGCGTTGATGCTTTGGCTAACTCGGCTGTGTATTTTTATATGTTGGATTGAGTTGTTTTATGTAATGTATCCGTTTTTATTCTGTAGTTAGTCCCCACTTCGGTTTTATCATGTATATCTATTATATAGTCATTTTATAAATTTACTGTTTGCAAAATTATAAATTATTCTAAATAATAAGGATGTTCTTGTCCCAGGCAGAAAACCCTGGCCGTGTTAGGCGCAAATTTTTGGAAGTTTTAGTCCTCGGTGCTCTTCGGCTTTGTACTTGTTTTGGCTTTCAAGCTTTTTTCATCTGAGCGTCACTGGATGGTCTTGTATGGACGAGACGCACGTCTGGCGTATTGAATTTTAAGCCTAGTACCTTTTGTTAGCTTTTATTCGTGTGTTTCTTTGTCCTATATGTTCTCCCATTTATTTGTATTGTTGTCCTGTCATGTGATGTTGTCGTTTTGGTGTTGTGTTTGACGTTGCCATTAAAGCGGGAGGTTTGGCATGCCACAAAACCAGCAACTACATAAATCGAATAAGTGTTATTTACTCCTCGTTGTTAAATAACAATTAATATGTTT